TGTGTCTGTGTGTGTCTGTGTGTGTCTGTGTGTGTCTGTGTGTGTGTCTGTGTGTGTCTGTGTGTGTCTGTGTGTGTGTGTGTACCTCTCTAGCACATGGGAGCAGAGGGTCACTCCTACACGATTGCAGGGGCATTGGGCACTCCTTGGCAGACCCAATGCAACGAAGCTATGCCTTGGAGTGGGAAGCAGTTCAGGACGCTGAACTGTGTACCTGCAAGCTGGGCCCCCTGAGGCAGCAAGATTAGAAAACGCTGGGTCCCTGAGGCAGCAAGACGAGGATAAAACTGGCCCCCTGAGGAAGCAAGATTAGATATCAACATACAACATACTCTCCTCTGCCTTGTTTCGCTCTTACTTTTGGCCGAATCAATCAATGTGATCAGCGTGGGTCATGAGACTCCAGAGCAGCGGCTTTCCGTCATGGTGCCGTGGTGACCCTTCGTGGGAGACCGGTGATGAACCGGATTGTTCAGACCTCTGGTTCAAACGTTCAAATCTCCCGCTGCTACTTATTCCCCTCTCTCTCTGATGCTTGCATGTGAGTCTGTGCAGTAACTGGCGTCTAGTGCAGTAACCGGCTGCTAATGCACAGGACTACCTCGCTATTCTGCTGTCCTTATTCTGTCTTTTCCTTCTCAGGGAATGCAAGGGCATGTGATGCTGACATGAGTGCAGATGTGGTAATCATCGTCTAATGCAAGTGATTGCAGCTTCCTGCGGGAAGTAATTGGCCATCGGTTTCGCGCTCTCGCTTCTCTCTCCCCCTAACCCCGGACCTTAATTCGAGGCCCACGCAGGACGTGGTACCTCTAGTTCCATTGCTCCTGGGTGCTTTTATGCACCGCTGGAGGATGGTCCACCGCTCCTGGGTGTCTTTGTTACACAGCTGGAGGGTGGAAAACCCTAATCGTGCTACTGGCCTTGGACCCTGCTAGGGTAGCTGGGCAGTAGTGTCCTCACCTATTCTCACCACCCTAATCACAACATACAACTACATGTGCAATACATTGGTCAAAAGCTGCTAGGGTAGCAGTCTCCTTTTTAACCCTCGTTGCTGTTTTGCCTTTGGGGGCCGTCGCGCCCAGCTGAGGAACAGCCCCTGGATGGATCTGGGCCCTTGCAAAGGCAGCTGATCAGCCTTCCCTTTCCTTTCCCTCTGTCGCTTCTGGAGGTTTGCGTGCCCAGCTGAAGGACAGTCCTGAACCCTAACTTAAACACCTCACCACAGCTTGGACTACCACAACATTGCTACATTCTGGACCACGTCGACAAGCTTTGCAAACGAGCATTTTAGCCCAAAGGGTGTTGTGGTTTAGCTTGGGTTCGTTTAGGTTTTGGAGCCCTGACACGGCTTTTGTTTGGCAACACACAATCGCCCCAAGGCGGGGCTGTGTGTGTGTGTGTGTGAACCTCCCTAGCACATGGGAGCAGAGGGTCACTCCTACTACACGATTGCAGGGGCATTGGGCACTCCTTGGCAAACCCAATGCAACGAAGCTATGCCATGGAGTGGGAAGCAGTTCAGGACGCTGAACTGTGTACCTGCAAGCTGGGCCCCCTGAGGCAGCAAGATTAGAAAGCGCTGGCCCCCTGAGGCAGCAAGATGAGGAAAAAAACTGGCCCCCTGAGGCAGCAAGATTAGATAACAATAACGACATACAACATAATCTCCTCTTCCTTGTTTCGCTTTTACTCTTGGCCGAATCAATCTGTGTGTGTGTGTGTGTGTGTGTGTGTCTGTGTGTCTGTGTGTCTGTGTGTCTGTGTGTCTGTGTGTCTGTGTGTCTGTGTGTCTGTGTGTCTGTGTGTCTGTGTGTCTGTGTGTCTGTGTGTCTGTGTGTGTGTGTATGAATATGATGCACACATGTCTTGATACAGATGCAAATACTACAACTTAAACCAACTGAAACGCAAACCAGACACTCAAAGAAACAAGTGATATGCTGCCGGCATTCCTGCGAGTGAAACGGGCAACAATCGCCGAATCCTGCGATCAATCTAGATTGCTGTACCATGATAGATGATACATATATGTCTATATATATATATGTATATATATATATATATATGTGTGTGTATGCGCATGCATACAAAGGTACATGTGATGTTGTGTATGCATGTGTGTATATCTATATGTATACACACATACATCTGTGTATATATGTGTATCTATAGTGTGGAGGAGGGAGATTGACAGAGAGAGAGAGAGATGTATATATATATATATGTATACAGATAGATACAAATAGGAAGATAGAGAGAAAGAGAGAAAAGAAAAAGAGAGAGGGCTAGCCTGAGAACTAGATTTCGGAATTAGTTGACGGACCAGACTGCGACTAAGCCGTGCAGATATCAGGAAAACATGACCCACTTGTGGTTGCCTTGTTGAGCAGTGCTTGCAGTGTGGTGCAGAGTCCAGAGTGCTGTATCCAGAGTGCTGTATGGGGAGATCCTCAGGATAGCTTCTGTGCAAGTCCACAACTGTCCACGTGCCCGAGCTCGTTGTCGCTGCGGGAAATCAAAGGACACTAAACGAGCTTTGCTGCCTTCAACATGGCATATGGGCTCAGCTTGGGGGGTTGCAATGGTTTTGATGTTGCGAAGGATACAGTGCGCTGGAAATGGGAACTCCCAGATGATATCTGCAACTTGACCACTCCGTCCGCTCGAGCCTGTCGCGGCTTTGCCAGTGCGTTTTGTGCCGCTTGCCCTACATGTGCCACTTGGGTCTGAGTCCCTTGGCATCACTTGACATGTGTCGCTTGTGCTGCTTGTTCCACCTGCACTCCGTGAGGCTTTCAGTAATACTAGTAGCAGTAGCAGTACTACTAGTGACCAGAAAACCCTACACCAAACCTCAAAGCCCAAAGTCAGAGGTTTAAACCTGAACCCTTAAACCCTAAGCCCTAAAATCCGAGATCCTAAACCCTAAAGCCCTGAAACCTTGAACCCCACAACCCTAAACCACAAGCCCTAAATGGCGCAAGTAACATGAAGACGTCTGCTAGCGGTTTCGATTCCCAGTTCAATGAAGCTGTAGACTGTGCAGAGCCGTATCTGACTGAGGAACTGCTTCATCGCTGAGACCATATAGTCTACATAAGAACATGTTTCGCTGACACTCAACGTGGATAAGCCAATTTTCTACGCAGGACATGTTTCTTCTAGCGCGATGGGTTGCGGCTGGTGTTTGGCCAAGAAGCACATGCAGACGGATAAAGTCTTGCCGGCCACACCAGGGAACTTTTGAATTGGTCCATGTCCTTCGGTTGCAGGATTCATGGCTCTTACCGAAAGTAGCCGTGAGACGCAAGTCAAGGTTTAGCCTAAAGCCCTGTGCTAGAAAACCCCAATGCCACCCCAACCCCTCAGCTTTTCGGCACGACACTTCTAAGCTCAGATAAGCCACATCTGCGGTGGGACCTCCCAATCCACCAGCACCAGCTTCAGTTCCTTGCGGATAGTCTGAAGAGGAAGGGCCCGGTCGGGGTCCAACGGCTCCAGCAAAAGGTTGTGGTTACAAAGGCGGGGGAATACCTACAATCCACACCGAAACAGACATAGCAAAATCCCATACAAAGCGTTCGCCGAGCCACCTTTTCTTGAACGAGCTTCAGCACAAAAGGGCTCAAGGTCGCATTGCTTCCTCGGAGCTGGGTTTTGGTTTCTTGTTGCACCCATGCCTAGTCCGTTGAGCTACTACGCTCTGCGTGCCGTACGGCACCGCTGACCGGTCAATCTGCAACATTGTTGAAGCCTTGTCAATTTTTGTTGTCACGGACGGACGTTTAAACTTTAAACTCAGAAGCCTTTGTCCACGAGCAGGAGAATGTCTGCCTCTGCCAGTTTCGCAGCTGCCCGCATGGAGGCAAAGTATCTGAATCTCGTCTCCTTGGTCCATGATTAGCGAATGGCCCGACCTGGGCCAACGAGTAGGATGAAGCACAAGGGATCTCAGAACCTTCGGCAGACGCCTTGAGGAGGCCGCCAGGCCTCTAGGCCAAGGCTCGTTGGCCGACTGCACGGCAGCCCCAACCAAGCTGAGCACAATTGCATATTTACCCTTCTGCGGGCCACTGGCGGCGCATCGCTCCACATCCAAACATGGTACCTCTTCCCCATCTTGCCAGCAGCAATGCGTGCATGTTGTGGGGGGAATCGGCAGGCTGTGCAGCTGAACTTTCTCCAAGGTAAGGTTCCCCAACCTGGGACATCGATGGAGACAGCTTACAGCGCAAACAGATAGAAAGACTGGTATAACAACAGTTCGACAGACAATACTGCCCCTGGCGTGCATGCCCTTTCATCCGTCTGCGTGTCTGAGTGTCTGTCGTGTCCTCTCCTGTCTACCTATCGATCTATCTAGATCTATCCATCTACCTATCTACCTAGCTACCTATCTATCCATCTATGCATCTACCCATCTAATGATCTGTCGCGCATGATTGCATATGCTTTCTGAACGCATATACAAACGACTGTACATGAGTTCCTGACTCAGAATGATTTAAGATCAGACCCAGGAACGACCTTTTTTGCTTGGACTGGAGCAGGGTAGGGCCGTCGCCCTCACAGCTTCCCACATCTTCGGCTCCCACGAGAGCACAAAACACACAGAGAATCGCACAGAGCAATGGACCTTGCATGGCGCCGCAAGGCCTCAATTTCGATAACTAGCTGCCTTGTTCTTGGAAGGCTCTCAAAGATTTCTCAACTTGTGCACCTGAGTCGTTAAGGCGTCTGCATGAACTTGTCCGATGGCTTTAGACGGTCGGGGGCTATGGTTATGGGCTTATCTACAACCACCAACTTCGTGCTTCCAAGCCCTGAAGCTGCACTCGGAACTCACTGAAGTCAATGACTGAGGTCTTTAACCCATGCTCGCTCTATTATGGGCAGGACATGAACGGCTTGCTTGAGCCGGAGGCCTGGACTCATCCTTGAGGGTGGGAATCGCACAAGGGGACCAGCAGGATCTTGTATCGTGGTGCCGCGTCCTTGGACCGTCCCCGGGCTGCGTCATCGCCACCAGTGTGGCACGCGCCGCGTTGGGGTAGGCGAGGCATCGCACGCAGAGCTCCTCGGGCTTCAGGGGGAGTGGGCTTGGCTGCATAACACTATTGGGCGGGGCCGGGGCCTGTGAAGGTGATTATAAATTCTTATGGCACAGGTGCGGTGCGAGGGGTGCCAACACTGAGGCGGCGATAGTCAACCAAAAGCCATATCCTTCGGCACGCGCATAAAGCTTTCTGCTTTCCCATTTCCAAAGCCCTGAAATCTTCAATCCGGCAGCCTCGAGCGATTTAGTAGTTCCTTTAGTTGTCGAGTAGCAGCCACACAGCGGTGCGGAATGGCCGACACTTTCAGATCACCCCCATCATCCGCCAGAGCCAGCGAAACCCTGGGATTTCTAGGTCTGTACCCGTTCGGGCAGGAGCATTGTTGTGTTGAGGGATGCGGGTTTTGGGGTGCAAGCTACTCATGATAGGTTAAAGCTTTCGGATATAGCCACATAGGTCCAGCGCGCTGCGACTTTCCGCTGCGTTCTTGAATCTCGAGCGGACAGAAACCAGGAACAAAGGTCTTGTCGAGCATGGACAGCTCGGCATCTCGGTATGGTATCTCTGTCGCAGCCCTGCAAAAATGCTTCATAGCGGTGTAGCTCATGATTGTGCGCCTTCTGAGAGACAGCACGAATCAACCAAGCATTTGCGATGCTTCGTACAAACAGTCAATATTCATCTTCGCTTCGAAGCGAGAAAAAACACAAGAACAAGAACAGTGTTGAAAGCCTTGCTCTGCTCGCAGCTATCGCTTGCCTGAAGCTGTGCCGTCCCACCCAGCCGATGCCCCTACTGGCCAGCACCCCTCGCAGCACATCCTGGACCCGCAGCGGAATTGGAGCCCAGTCGTCAACAGGAGCGAACTACGCGAGCAAGAGGCGACATCAGTTTGACTTGCAGCCCTTCTGTGCATTGCTACAGGTCCACCGTGTCACACATGATGCAGTACTTCTTGTGACCGGTAGCGGGCAGGTACCATTGCGCAAGACGGGTCAAAAGAAGCATCTACAGGACCACTTGAGGTCAGCCCCAGAAACCCCCTCGGCCCAAACACTACTCAAACAACTGCTTGCTGTTGTCATTTTGCCCAACCCTTCGGCTCACAAGTTCCGTTCGAGGTTCAAGCGGTCTCAACTTAAGATCATGGACCAGCTGCTCGTCGTCTAGGGTGGCATCCACCTTTCCCATGTAGCCAGGCCGGATGATGGTGTAATCCTTAAGCGACAGTTCAAGTCTCAGCTGTAATGCACTGCCTCGAAGCACGTACTTTCAGTACTGGCTTTGATAGATACAGCTAGCGGCACGCATGATAAGACTAGCATCACGAAGCTTCGAAGTAAATGTTGATGCTTCAGTGGTTCAGAGCTCAAAGGGGATGTGGGGAAGAGGCTCCCGAGCTTGCGCTTGCGAAGGTCCGCATTGACTCCCTACTCACAGATCGCATGCTTACAAGTCGATGGATCGCAGCAAAGTGCAGATTCATGGCCATGTCTATTTTGCTTGAAAGATGAGCCTACCCATGAATGCTAAGCCGCTAAATCGTACAGTAAACAGGACACTTTCACAAGTCAACAGAAGGCGAATGGACCGACTGCTGCGGACTGCGAAACATCTGGGCCTGTTCGTAACTGGTTGCCGACGAACCTGGAGCATCATGCCCATGTATGCATACATACATGCTTACATATCTATATATATATATACATATAATATAATATATATATATAGAGAGAGAGAGAGAGAAGTACGGAGATAGACACCGATGCATAGTATACATGTATACAAATAGATGTGTATACATATGTGTACATATGTGCATATTTTCAGAGGTCCAGGTTTTGATACCGATCTGGATCTGAATTTAGATATGTGTTGATGTACACGCACACGTATGTGTTTATGTGTATATTTCGAAAGACCTATATCAAGGCAGCTGCCGACTGGTTTATACACGTATTAAAAGTACAAAGCTTACCTTTAGGTGCGTGCTTGCATTGATGCGTGTGTGCGTGTCTATATACATATATATATATATATACTCATAACATAACGATCCTCATCGGAGAGCGGGATAGAGAGAGAGAGAGAGAGAGAGAGAGAGAGAGAGAGAGAGAGCGAGAGAGAGAGAGAGAGAGAGAGAGAGAGAGAGAGAGAGAGAGAGAGAGAGAGAGAGAGAGAGAGAGAGAGAGAGAGACTTTCCTGCCTAACGGCCCAAAGCCGAGAGAGGCCGCTCGGAGAAGGGGCACTCACGGTACAACCTGGATGTTTCTCGAAACCATTGCCGCTTCTGCACGATAGTCGTTCCACGACATGCTGCGCACGATCCTGTACTCCAGCTGGCCATCGAAACCGTAGAAAGCAACTGCAGGTTGGGCTCCACCTGGCTTTGACCACGCAGCCGACGTTCGCCCTCCTGCTATGGCTCCGATGCTCTCTCTACTTGGGCCTTCTTGCTCTTTGGTCAGTCGCAGGGTCTTGCAGCAAATTTTACGGTCACGGACGGGCTGCTGGGCACTCATTATGGCAAGAGACTCAGATTTCCAATTCGGGGTGTGCCCTCCGCGCAGAGCCGGAAGTTGGGAGTTCAAGGGCCCTGCCGTCGGTTGTTGAGGTTGGTATTCAGGGGTTGGGGTCATTCGGGATCATGTGATGCCAAGGTGTAGGTGTAGGTAGGTGTAGGCTTCCGAGCAGCAAGGGTTGAGGCGTAGTGTTGTGGAGCCGAGATTATTGGTCTCAAGGTTTACAACAACCGCAGGGTGTGGCCTTTCGGGTGCAGGGCAGGCACGGAAGCTCGGTAAGCATTTGCTCGAGTTGAATCCCGCCTCCCTCGCCCAATATTAAAGGAAATGGTACCAAGAAGTCTGGCATAAGGAAGGTTGCCACTGTAAGCAAGTCTGGGTTCGAGTCCATGACAACCATCAGCCCCTCCTGATTCCATGCCTTCGCCATCGAGCCAAGGCCATTGATCAGAATCCTGGGATGACCCTTTCAGAGCTTTGGAAGAATTGCAGGCTGTAGGACCACAGTATGGGGCTGTCCAAGATCCTCCAAGCTCGGAGTCTCACAGGCTCACCACCGCTGACCCCTGAAACCGTTTCGCAGACCTGCTCTGACCTAGCCCGACTCTAGAACTATCCTCAAGCACAGAGCCCGCCACGCCAAGCCTGGTGTGCCTGAGTTGGCCCAGAACTACGCATGCTTATAACATGTATAAGGCTGCGTCATCTAGAGCTTCACTCAACCAAAAACTCGTCCCCGATTTACATCTCGCATTCTCGCATCAACCAATTAAATACATGCACCCAACTGTACCCTGAGCTCACAGCTTGAAGCCTTGCTACCAGATCCCTGATCTGAGCCCAGAGTCTGGACCTCCAAAGCCTCTGCTGTGAACGCGAAGCCTTCAAGCTCCCGGAGCCGCCAAGTCTCGAAAAGGGAGACCAGGGATCTTCGCCCTGCCGGCTCCAGCGGACTCTTCAGAGTCTCATGCGCTTCTGGAGTCTATTTTGTCAGAGAACTGACAAGCAACGAACGAAGGCTTAGTATGAGTTCTCTCCCCAGCACCATAACAGACCCAACACGAAGACGGCAAAGACTTCAGACGACTGTGCTGCAAACCTGACACCATGAGCAGCAAAACGTTACCAGCCCTGATTCTTGCGCTACACCACCCAGCGCCACAAATTTCATCCTTCAAACCCCGAGCCAACTTGAACAGAAAGTCGTAGTTCAGATTCCGACATTCAACCTCATGATGAAGCAAGTGGCTAATCAATCTTAATTCGAAGCTGGCGAATAACAGAATCTTCAACTCGCGCAGAGTCTTCCCACTTCTCCCGACAGCTAACAGATTGTAGTCCCCTGAAACACAGATGAATGGCAGCAAGCTTGAGACTAGAGCCCAAGCCCTCAAACTCAAACGGGAGAAGGGCTGGCCTTTCCCGTGACTCGGACGAGCCGCTTGCAGCCTTGTTTGTGTGGAAGTTGCATTTCCATGCATGTATCTGGATCGGTCAGCATGCCGGATTTTGGGGCTACTGTTCTTGCAACAAGTACTTCACATCCAGCCACGCCCACCCTGATCGCATGTGCACTGGGTTCCTGCACGCACAGATCGCACATGTCTTGCGATCTCTGGAAGTGCGACTGAGCAAAACGATCGGGATGTCGTTGTTTCTGCGTATAAGCAACATAAGCTTTGGTACTGACTTTCGAGCAGCACAGAATCAGCGAGATCATATCCTACACGCGATACTAGTAACACAAGGTGCCGCTGCTGCTTCTGAATGTGGGAGGCACCATGCGCTCGCGCGTGCGCTTGTCTGTGCCAGGTCTGCGCCTGGGTCTTTCTAGTCTAGGGTGGGAAAAGGACTTTCACTGCAGCGGAGCCGTTCGCCACTGCTGCATCCAGGAGATAGCCCACGGCCTCGCAATTCACCTGCACGGCGGGTCCATCACGCGGCAACTTGTTCCCTCTGGCAAGCAAGATTTCTCGTGTTTTCCAACAAGGGTTAGAGGGTCTGAGGAATTCCTGGCAGCTGGTAGCGGTGGCGGCGGTGGCGGTGGCGGCTGTGGTAGTTTTGCTGCCTCTACCTCACGGCAGTGGCTGAAGTCAAACGGGAGGTTGGTGGGCGATTGTAAGCCGCTTTTTCATGCTACTACCATGCGAAACACGAAGTCGGACCAGCTCAAGACGTTGATTTAGAGTTTCCCATGAGCAGAACAACCGAGGGAATCACTTAAGGGACTTACGCCTGAATCTCCAAAGCCACCACGACTGCAAATGTCCTCTAGTGCCACCGCTACACACTGACATGGGCTGTCAAATACAAACCTCAAAAATCGCCTGCTTCCCGTGATTGGCATCTGTCGACTCCTTGGCTTCTGATCTGCGTGGCGAGCAGGCAGAGGAGGCAAAGGGAGGAAACGAAGACCTAGAAGAGGTCTCGAACTCTTCAGTTCACATCACGCACCCTGAAGATCTTGCTCAGATAGCGCCTCATGTTGACAACGACCCATGCATACCATCCATTGAAACCTTCATCGAACGAATGCAGTATTTGCCTACTGCAAACCCAAGAGCATCGCAAAGATGTGGCTGTGGTTTCCCTGTCTTAGGCTCCGCTTCTCGAAATTTCGCCTGCTTCAGCCTTACCCGCCCGCATCGGTTTACGTGTCACCTCTAGCATAATGCCCACAACGACACGGACAGTGAGCTGAAGTTGTTGATGGAATGTCAGACGTTCAAAGTCTGATTTGGTACGCTCGGATAATTTCCTAGATTTCTTGTTCTGTGCCGTCGCCCAATGTGCGACGTGGCCTCAGGCGGGATGGGTGCAAATGTTTCGTGGCAGATGTGAAGCCTCAAGCTTCCGCAAGGTCTGGGGCGAAGGGTTCCCAGGCCTGAAAGTAAAGACTGGGAGGCTTTGCCTCACGACTGTTGAAGGGCTATCTGCTTCTGTTTCGCAATATGCTGACGGCTGACGGCTTTCCCGTGTGGGTGAAGAAACCGTCGGCGTCCCGCACACCGAGACTGGAAGGAATGCTTCAGAACACACTGACATTCATCTTGGGTCGTTGAGAAAACTCTGGGGGCTGAGTTGTTGGAGTCGAAGCTGGTCATGCCGCAAGGCTTAGGTTTCAACATCTTAACCAAGTGGCACTTACAGCTCAACCCATGCCCAGACCAACTCACCCTATGCATTGGATAAATCCTGAGCCCTCAACTTTCATCCGACATTGGTTATGAAAGCTTTTGGCTGAACTCTCAATACCTTGAACTCTCAACCGTGCACCTATGTCCTAGCGGCATCCACCCAGGGAAGCAAGTCCATGGGCTTGGTGTAACGTTTGGCGCCGTGAAGAGCCAAGCAAGCGCTGCAGCCTCTGCCAAAGTTCAGGCTTTTGGGGCCGGGGCTTAGGTACTGCGGGCCTCGCTTTGGATGTCCAAGCCCTCAACCCCAGCCACGACAGGCCTGTGTTTTCTGAGAAGTGCATGGATGCTGACATTACCAGTCATTACAGATTGGAGGAGCGTTGCTTTGGGTTCTTGTTTCGGCCACAAGGCTTCAAAGGATGATCCTGGAGATTGCAGAGATGTGTTTGGGGCGTGTCCTCCCAGTTCCGTATATCCTTGCGCAGTCTCGCTGCCTGTTCTGGTCCCAACATGACCCAGAGTGAATCTACTTCTGAAGTACCACATGCGACTCATAGGCGCTCAGATCTGACGACGTGTCCACCAGTCACCAGTACTCAAACAAGCCAGTACTGCTCTTTGATGTTAAGGTACGTGTTCCCGACAGGTCTCTGGATTTTTTACTGCCGCGGCACGGATTGCTCCTGAAGTTGCGGCTACCTAGCGGATCTGGCGCATTTCATAAATCAATGCTTTCTCGGCAAAAGCTTTAGCTTTATCATGTTGGTATCCCCGACATCCTACGATCGACCTTGTAACAACTCGAAGACTTTGTCCTTCTCGGTCACCTGGCCCTGGCAAGCGAGATGCACTGCATGGCTATCCGTAGACTCGACTATATTGATGCCTGAACCAGCCCCAAGCAAACCTAGAGCCTCCAATTGTTACAACCCGAAACCACAAAGTCCATGCGCGCAGAAAGCATGAAGGCTTGAACATGCCTGAACCGTCTGTCATCACTTCTGAACACACGACTGCTCCGAAACAAAGGCACGAAGTTCGCTGATACTTGTCTCATGACTCCTACACTTGCTCTGTGCTTTTCTGTCAGAATGAGAACAGGACACTATCTTGTATCCTTCGATGCAAATAGGTTCGAAACGAATCTCAGACATGAGCCGCACAACTGTGAAGGAGACCATCCATACCGCTGCACCAAGAATCGACCCTAGACCTGGAAGTTTCAAAACTCCCAATCACTGTGAGCTGGTCAAAGAGACGCTGCAAGCGGACCCCGTAAAGCAGCCCCAAAACCACAAGCCCGAAGCGACGGGTCACAGAACCCGAAAACTCAAAATCTTCAAGTGTCCAGCCATTCCTCCAAACCAGCAGTCCCTTTTGGAATTTTTTGGGGGCCTTTGAGTTTTAGTAGGACGGAACTAAAGCACTCGCATCTTGAGTATGGCCTCGGTCTACCATGAGGATCACGGAAGATCCAGCTTACCCACATCCCACAAAGCCCAAACCCCAAACCGCTCTGGAACTCTGCAGCTCTACAGCCTACAGTATCCAGTCCTGACCGGAGCACGCCTGTAACACTTCGACTCCCGGCAGCGTGGCCAACCATGCTGCGACCTTTGTACAAATGACCGGCCGTGTTGGGTCTTTGAGGCTGTGGCCGCAGGCGTCTCTTGCGAGCTTTCGAGATCGGAGCCTCGCCAGCCGTGGCATCCTCGCCCCTGCTGGGAGTTGTCGGCGCCGAGCGACAGAGGCAGCGGACGGCGTGACCTTCGGGATTCGGGAGTTCCTAGCAAGTTCACCTATGTCAACATAACCGTACACATAGTCATCGTCACAGACCTGTCGGTATATATATATATATATTACTCTCTCTCTCTCTCTCTATATATATATATATATATATATATATATATACATGTATGTAGAGACTATACATACTAGAGACGTTGGGATTTCTATGTCTATGTTGCATGCATGCACGTACGGAAGGACAGACGGACACACGGACGCACGGATGCATTATGTACGTAACATATGTTGATATACACATGCATACATATGTATAAAAATACAAACATGCGTACATAGATACATACATAAGTACATACATACATACGTGCATACGTACATACATACATACATGCATTTATACATGCATGCATGCCTACGTACGTACATACTGTATACATATGTGTATCTGTGCAAGTATAGATGTGCATGTGTACGTATATGCATCATGTGTAAGCATATGGTGACTCGCACATGTATACGTGCAGGCATATGTCTACGTATAGGTATACGAATACGTACATGCTTACGTACACGTATACTTGCATGTACAAGTACAAGTACGTAAACAGGCATCTACATGTAGGTGGAGATGTAGATGGAAATGAATAGACAAGCATATGTATGCGTCTGCATAAGTATAAGTGTATATGTGTGTATATATATATACATATATATATATATACGTATGTATAGATATTATACATATATATATATATATATGTCTAAGTATATGTACAAGTATGTATACACATTGTGCGTGCGTAGGCATGTGTATGCGTGTATGCTTGTGTAGATTTGTGTCTATATGACATGTGCAGTGTAGACTTCTGTTGCGTATGTACGGTATAAGCATTGAAATTGTAAGTACATAAGTAAGTATGCTACAATTTGAAAACCTTCGGCATGGGCACACAGATGTAGTAATCCGAACCCCAAGTTCACAGACAAGAAAACCTTGAAGCCGTTGTAGATTTTCTGCCTCCCCAACTACGCCACATTGAGTCACGCGATGAGTCCAAACATAAGAGCCTGTGAAGCGGCATTTCAAAACAGCGCACACGCCCACCCGGTGTCTATCGATTTGCATGTACACCAAGGCACATACATGCAGGCATGCAGGCAAGAATGCATGCATGCTCCTATACGTGCCAACAGTTTTCCGCCATGCCAACCCTGAGCCAACAACACGAGTTCGTGTTTCAAATCCCGAGACCGTCGAAGAGGGAACGACCTTGCTCCACAAGCTGCTGCACGGCGTGCCGTCCGAGCTTACCGGTGGCCTCCGCTGCAACTTCGATGTGACCGCATGTGTAAAGCCACCATCGTTGAGTGCTGAGGTCGTAGCTGAGAGCAGTCGACACTCTGCTGGGCTTGTGTTTGCATAGGGTCCACAATAGCTACGGAGATTTTGGAGTCTAGGGTGGTGAGGGACGAAGAAAAGCGATTGTTGCAGCTTTCTGAAGTCGATCGGAGTTTGCGCAAGACAGGACTGGTCAGCTGATTGATGGTGGCATCCTCTCCACAAGAGCCTGTCACTTTCGATTTGCGAGAAACAAACGAAGCTCGAAAGACATGAAGTAGCCAACTCGCAGTAAACTGCGTTTGGGCTCTCAATGGCGAGGACTCGGGTCCCGAAACCCTTTACAGTAATCCCAAAGACCCGCAAACCCGCAAACCCTTAACCTCCAAACCCTAGAGCCCAAATGCCTGGACCCCGGCACCTGCCAAGCCCAACAAAATAAACCTAAAAACCCCCTAAGGCCCTATAGCCGCCTGAACCACTCCAAAGCCCTAAACCCCGAAACACGAGGGAAGGCCCGAAACCCTAAACACCAAGCCCTTCAAGCTGGAAACCCTCAACCCCTAAACCGCTAAACTCCAAACCCTACATCCCTTAACCCCTTGACTAACCCTAGAAACCCAAATTCTAAACCCCCTGAACATCAAATCCTTGAATTTCCGATTTGTTAAAGCCTAATCCGCTAAACCCTAAACCAAGAACACCTAGATGCCGACCTTGAGACCCCAAGCCTTAAACCCAAAACCTTTAAAACGCCAAGGGTAATGATGATCCTAAACATCCGAAGGCCTAACCGCAAAAGCCCTAGACCCCAAGCCCTGATGTTGACTTGACTCTCCCGGTCGAGCCCCTGTCACTGCGACAAGGTCCGCAGCACATCTCACAGCAAAAGCCGCCAGGGTAAGCAGCAACGTGGCGTGAACCATATTGGGCTACCGATGTCTTTGGAATGTTGCCGATCAGGTGTTTTAGAGCTCACGAGTGCTTTTTATGTACAAGTCTTAGATGCTGGCTCGGGGCGTCGAAGGGATGAGTTTGAGGTCTAGGGTGAAGTCCATTGCCTCCCCGCAGCTACTCGTCAGCAACATGCTGACATGACACGTGTTGTCACGTTTAACTTTAGGACAGTCTGATCACCCTGTCGAGGAGATGCAGCTGATTAGTTTCTTTACGCGCGTGAGCTGAAGGCGGCAAGCGATTGTTCAAGACAACATCCAGTCACTTCCTACATAAAGAACGCGAAGGCGCTTCCGAGCACACGACTCCTAGGCTGTCTGAAGCCAGGTGTGCAACGTCTCCCTGGGTTGCGGGCATTGGCCCGGCCCAGCCCAGCCGTGCGAGCCAAGCGCCGCCGCTCCTGGGCCACAGCGCCGGAAACCTGGCTTGCGAGGTGCAGGCTACGCACACTGGGCTTCTGCTTTTGAGTGGAAACCTGAATTGGTACATCACTCAAGCGTTTTGAGTCTTGAGCCATGGCCACGGCAGCACACTGCAGCACTTAGCATCCCTCCCAACGAGACAACATGCTAAATGCAGCTACCAGAACTACGACGACGCCGACAACAACGACCACCACAACCCACGACCGCGACCACAACCACAACCCAAACCATTCAGACAAAGCTCTTGAGGTAAGTTCGTGTATGACTCGCGAGGCTTCGCCTGTCGTCATCTCCCAGTTCAGGTTAGGAGACTGCATAAAGCACGGATAGGGTAAGGATAGAAACGGATTTGGTTTGGGATAATGGGGGCTTCGTAGGTGGCTTCGTGGGTCTCCCTGTGTGTGAGGCAAGGGATATGGCATTGATGTAATTAGTTACTGTGGCTGGATGAAAGTTGGTGTAAGGCTTGCGGTGGGGCATAGAAGTTGAGTTCGGGCTGTGCAGGGATATGAACCTTGCCACCCTATACGACACAGCAGCGCACCCCGACGGCCCCGACGAGTAGCTGACTCCTCTTCACTGCATTGGGAATGACCAGGGACATCTGGTCTTGCTGGCTTTAGCAGGTTATGCTTGTTGGGATGTTTAACAACTCGCTGGCAGCACGGAAGTGAGCATCATCCAGCCCAGCATCGCGCGGGACAG